GCAGTTCCTGACACTCATCATGGTGAGAACAGCTATGTTATTTCTCACTGCATTGTCTTGGATCTCATGTGTCCCTTGTCTCTGTACAAGGGAACACTCTTCTCAACTTTCACTGCCTGCACTATTGTCACTACCTTGCTTACGATGTCATTTTTAAACATTTATCTCATGAGTCCTTTACCTAGTAAACGTTTCCTGACACTACCAGCCATGGTAGGTATGTATCAGCATAAGGTCTTATCATATTTGGTTCCTGCCTCTGTGAGTCCTCTTTTCATATTAGCAGAATATTTCCCTATGATTATATCTGGTGCTATAAAGGCTCTCTCTTTTTTTTTTTTTTTTGGTTACCTGGGATCACTAATGACCTTGTGCTTACCAGGCAGGTCTGGTAAATCCCTGGGAAGGCTCTTCATTTTTTACCTTTAGAAAATAATTGGTGCCAGGCAGAGTAGGCACTCAGTAAAGTTTGGATCAATGAATCTAATTCATTCCACATGCACTCACCAAAAATTTACTAACTACTAAATGCCAGGCCTCAGTGCTAAGAATCTGTCTTAGTTACTTTTTACTCGTTGCTGAGACAAAATACCTGAAGTTCAAGCTGTGAAAGGAAAGGTTTACTTCTTACAGTTTTTGGAGGTTTCAGTCCACACTCAGTTGGCTCCAAGGCAGGCGGGCATGGCTGGGCCTCAGTTCATGGTGGCTGCAAACAGCAAGCAGGAACCAGCAAAGAGCAAGACACACCTTCTTCCTGCCATTACATCACATCCTAGCTCCACCCTTAAGTGGGGGTAGCACTGACATCATCAATCCAAGCACTAGACAATGAAACAATCACAAATGCACAATGCAAACTCATGAGGCCTGGGGGCCACAGACATAAACTATGACAGAATCAAAAGACATAAATTTTTTGTCTTAGTGTCCTCAAACTTTATGGAACTAATCACATTAATTTTATGTTGCTGCTAAAACAAAATACTACAAAATATACAAAACATGACCAATATGTAGTGGTTTAAAACAACTCATTCAATATTTTTCAGTTCTGCTGGTTCCTCTGCTGCTGGTCTCACAGATGGAATAGAGATCTCAGCTGCCTTGGGCTTTTATCTGGTGGCTGTAGAAAAAAAAGTGCTTTTGAGCTACGCAGGTTGTTGGCAGAACTGAGTTCCCTGCAGCTGTAGGGCTGCTCTCCATGTCCTTGCTGCTTGGCCAGGAGCCTTCCTGGTTAAGGGCCCGCGTCTTCATCACTTTGCTCCTGGACTTACCATACACTTCTGACCTTGAATCTCTCTCACTTCTCTTCTGCCAAATCTTTACTGCTTTTAAGGGCTTTTGTGATTAGGCTGAGCCCCTGTGGGTACTCCAGAATAATTCTTTTTCTTAAAATCCACAACCTTAATAACATTTGCAAAAGTCCCATTTGTCATGTAACATAACGTATTTACTGTTTCCAAGGATTGGTCGTGGACACTTTTTTAGGCGTACTGCAACGACTATTCTACATTATTATCATCAGTAGTAGTATTTCCCAACATATCTCTCTCTCAGGTAATTTAGAGACTATTTTACAACAACATGGCTAAATTTATTTTGGCTAAAAAACCATGTTTTGCTTAACAACAAAGAACTATAAGTTATTTGAAAGTATTATTTTATGAATCAAAGCTTCACAGAAAGAACTATGTATAGAAAGAGGAAAGATGTAAAACACATAAAGCAATAAGTAAAGTTTTATAAATAGAATGAGAACCATAAGTAAATGATACAGCAGTGATATGGATGTATATTTTACCCAGTCTTGGAAGAATATAAGGCTAGACAGTTGCTGCATTTATCACTATTCAAGTATGGCTGATTTCCTAAAGGCAAAACCTGCTATTAATACATCAGATAATTATTCTAGTTGAAATCAGATGAAATTCTCTTTTCCTCTCTAAACTTTGCCCAAAAGTAAAAGAATCATATATGGATTTTATTTTCCATTTTTAGCTTATAAAACTAGTCATCTGAATAAAATTAAGTTATCAATGCAATAACAATGAATTTTGGAAAAGCCAGTATTTGGGGGCATATTATGCTAGATTTAAAGGACACACAATGAGCATACTCCCTACCTGCAGGATACTCACTGATACTTAAATTGATAAATTGCAATTCTCTGTAACAAGGGCAATAGAAGAAGCTAGCACAGGTAGACGAAATGATCCAAAGAGTAGTAAGGTAAGCTTTTCCTGGTTGAAGGACAAATAAATCTTTAGGAAAAGGGATGGAAGGGAAGCTGAACCAACAGCACAAGCAGAGGCCCTAAGTATGCAAAGGGTTAGAATATGTGAGGGGAGTGCAGGTCTGATGGGAAGATACAGAGCGAGGGGCAAGAAGTGGAAAGTTAGGAGGCAAAGGGTCAGTGTGCCCATATTCAGTCTGTTTCATGGAGATAAAGGGCTGGCAAAGCCTTCTAATCAGGAAAATACATGATTGGAATTGCAGGGGTTCTGTTTTTGTTTATTAATTTTTATGTATTGCAGTATTGGGGGTTGAACTCAGGGCATTCACACTGAGTTATATTCCCAGTCCTTTTTTAGACAGTGTCTTGCTAAATTACCTAGGCTGGGATTTAACTTTCAATCCCACTGCCTCACCTTCCCAGGGTGCTGGGATTATAGGTGGGCACCACCAAATCTGGTTAGGATTTGGAGTTTGGAAAGTCATCTTTAGGGTTGCACAAAAGAGACTTGGCTAGGTTAGAGGGTAGTTACAGGCTGTGAAACCAGCTTAGGTAGGAAGAAAGCCTAAACTGAGGCAGTGGAGTGAGAATGTAGAGTTCGGGAAAAATACAAAAGATTGCACAGTGAGAGTCATCCACTTCGTGATGCATTAAAGGTACAGTGGTGGGCAAAAGATCACCAGCTAGCATGGGGCCTTGCTTTAGGAGAAATGGAAATTTAAGTGTATGCATGATTCTGCAGGAAAAAAGCTTTTAATGGAAAGGTAAAGAAAATAAAAAAGGGACTCTAGTTTGGGTGGTAGCTGATAGAGCATCAGATCCCCCTTTCCCCAAGCAGGCAGGCAGGTTTTGAAGGATAAGCCCAGGTGGAGCAGTTGATCATTGTCTTAGTCTTCCTTTTTAGTGCTGGAATTTTCATGGTTTGAGGGGTGGTTCTGATTCCTTAAAATGATTAAATTGTTTGTGGTTGTTTCAGCCAAGCGCATCTCCGCTTTTCCTGGAATCCAGGTGCTCACAGGATTGGGAAAACAGCTAGAGACTTCTGAGTGTAGCTATGTCTCTATAAACCTCTTATCCTGTTATCCTTAGTCTTCAGGGGCAATGTGATAGGTGAGGTAGATTTAAGGTTAACAGTTGCTCCCTAGATGGTTAATGTGACTGCAGGCAAAGCCAAGAAGACTATGACCCAGAATTTTACAAAATGAATGTCAAAATTTGGGCTGCTTTTAGTTGTCTATTGTACATTGGTAGACCCAAGTGAAGTCTTAGTTTTAGCAAAAATTCCTTTTTAATCCCTGGCTGCATTTGGGGAAAACACACAAATCAAGTTTTTGATAAGTAGCAAGTTAAAAGGCCCAGCATTCTGCCCATCTCCATCCCTATGGTGGTCTCTGACTATGCCATGACTGCGTTAAAGGGAGGGAAAAGAAGGGTTAAGAGTAGTGACAGTCGAGGCAGAGATACGGAGACTACCAAGCACAGGAGCACCGGCAGAACCTTGGGCCCTTACCTGCTACTAACGAAAAGCATGATTCGTGTTTTCTTCCTGGATATTCGAGGACAGAAAGCCATTTTTTCTAAGAGCCATGACTTCAGTAGGACGCACACTAGCCAGTAACAGGAGAAATTGAGAGATTCTTAAAAATTTCTGACATGGGAAGAAAATCTCGATATTTGATATTCTCTGACTAAGGAATGAAGGAAAACAAGTGAGAGGGCATAGTGACAGATTCTCTTCTTGACCAAACTTTACTTGGGCTTCTCCAAGCCCTTATCTCAATTAGGCTATATCCTTGGGTCCTGCCTTAGGCCACCCAAGCCCAGGTTTACCAGGAATCCTCTAAATTGGCTTAGAAAGATCCCTTGTCCAGGTCAGCCTCACCTGCCTTCACCTGCCTTCGGTTTAGCAAGAATGTCCTCTACCCTTATCATTTCTTAACACTTACTTGCAGTATTTGTGTGTAATCTTTCTTACTGTCAGAAACCTTTTGATTACGGTGTAGCAAATAACCTGCAAGCTGGTTTCCTCACTTTAATATTTATTCTATTATTCAAACACCTACAAAGTTCAGTCCCCTTTGCTGAGGGGCTTCACAGTCACTTACAGGAAGCTGCAGCATAGACCTCCATAAAGAGAACCTTGAGGCAGAGTCTAGGTCTTGGTACCCAGTTAACAGGAGACCTGCCGTGGGCTGCAGTTCTCATATCTGATGCGCACCAAACGCCAGAATTCGAACAAAATAAGTGTTAACGGTGGGATCGCTGGGGTGACAGTATACGCTAACTCCAATCACAGATGTGAAAGCGCTTTTGAAAAAGTGACATTAGTCCGGGTGGCCGTGGCCAGGAAGGGATACAGCGGTGTCACCTCAAATGGTGACAGCAATGTGGCAGGGTCTGCTGCGCGCACGCCCAGAGGCTGGTCAACCTCGCAGGGTAGGGTACACAGCAAGCACAGGAATTTCGGGATCGAGATACGGAGGGTCAGCTCTGCTGAACAGAGGTGGAGACTCGCTACAGGCAAGCAGGGCACTCTACTCCGGGTCGCAGCCGGCTGACAGGACTCTGACAATTTAGCCCTCCACCAGGCCACGCCTCTCCGGGAGCACGCAGGCGCATGCACGCCCGCACGCCGGCCGCCAGCCGTCGGGCTCTATTGCGCATGCGCCCCGCGGGGCGATGGCCTGGGAGGCAGAAGTCCCAGGGGCTGCGCCCGGGCTGGCGGGTGGAGCCGAATGGCCTCGCGTCACTTCCTGTGGGGCGGGGCGGAGTGGAAGGGGTGGCGCTCTGGCAGCTGGGAATCGGTTTGTGTTGCAAACCCAGCTGATGCGGGCGTCCGGTGTGGACTTCCGTGACGCGATCAAGCGAGTGGACACTGCCCACGAAGTGACTGCGGCCTGCATCCCGGTGAGTGACGCGACGGGGCGGGGTGAAGGGCAAGCTGCCGCTAGGGGCGGCCGCCGTGCAGCCTCCAGGTCCCCCCGGGTCTCCAGTGGGGGCAGAGTCGCAGCCTGGGGAGACGCCCGCCGCGGGGAGCCCAGGGACGCGGGGCGGCGGCGGCGGGGCCGGGAAGGACGCGGGGGAGGGCGGCCGTGCGTGGCGCCCTCTGCCCCCAACCCGCTGTCTGGGTGCCTCTGGCCCCGGCGCGCGCCCGCATCCCCATCCGCACCCCGCACCCCACTGCCCACTCCCGGCGCGGCCTCGCTGAGCAGGTCTCTCCTGGGTCTGCGCTCTCCAGCAGCTCCCAGGCACTCAGAAGTGGTTGCTGTGTTTTCCGTCGTTCTCGACTTTCCTTGTGCATTTTGAGCTTCCTTTGCTTGATGTTTTTATCTGTCTCACCCACATCTTATATCTCACCCACAGCCGATTCCCTCCCTAACTGCCGTTGCTTGAGGGTATTCCAGTGGGTGTGCTTTTTAAAAGCAGGTGAAGGGTGTGAATCATTGTTTTGCAGAGCAGGAAGCTCATCCCTAATTCCCGGGTGGTTTCTGCGATGATGCTGAGGGGGCCCGGTTTTTAGGCATACTGCAGTAACTTTGAAGAAAAGTGATGACTCTCCAAAGAAAATTTAGATGTGACATCACACAGTACTTTTATTTAAAATAGTGTTTACTTCCAGGAGCAGTTGTATTGTAGATCTGTACTCCTGTTTGTTAAGGTTTCAGAAAGGATAAAAATACGTTGCAAGAAAGCCCGGCATGGTGGCGCATTCCTGTAATCCTAGCATTTGGGAGGCTGAGGCAGGAGAATTGCTGCAAATTTGAAACCAGTCTGGGCTATAAAGTGAGCCCAAGGCCAGCCAGAACTGCTTAAAAAAAAATCAAGGAAATGCCAGTAAGACAGTGAGCTACTAAAGATGTTAAATGTATTTAAAATGTTAAAAATCTGAGGATTTTTTAAAAAGTACTTAAGCTGAATTGGAAGCTTGTACTTTGTATGAGGCATTTGTGTCAAGCTCATTATAGCCATTTTGTTAAATTGCTTATGTTAAATTGTATTTTCACTATTCGGGCATGTTATTTAGTCTTTTTTGAGAGAGTCTCACTAGGCTTGCAGGCTGGGCTTGAACTCCCAGGGATCCTCTCACTTTAGCCTCCTGAGTGCTGGGATTACAGGGTGCACCACTACGCCTGGCCTTTATCCTTTTCATATTTCTTTCTTTTTTTTTTTTTTTTGATTGTCATGTTTTCCTGTTATATATAAAGTAGATCTAAATTAAAGTCTTTTTTTTTTTTTTTTTTTTTTTTTTTTTTTTTTGGTACTGGGGATTGAACTCAGGATCTTGTGTTTGCCAAGCAGGCACTCTTGCCACTGAGCTAAATCCTCAGCCTCTAAAGTTTTGTAAGCAGTGATTTTTCTCATGAGTGATGTTAGCTGAAAGATCAGTTTCACAATTTATATATTGCCAGTTTCACAAGCGGAGCTGGGACAGGAACAACTTTGAGTCATTTGCTTCCAGAGTGGAAGAGTGCGTTTTGCTTCGCCCACAGAATCTACATTCGTGAAAAGGTCAGCACAAGAACTCATAACCCTAGACACCTTCTTGTCTGGTCCTTTTTCTGTTCTAATCTTTCCCACCTAAAGTGTTTTCTTCTATTCATTTATTCATTACTTTTAAAAACATGTTCCTGAGTTTTGGACTTACCTTTTATTCCTGTGCTTTCTTGCTTCCTTGAAAAGCTTCTGTTTCTCTTAATTCTGGATGGTACTCAAGTCTTTACTAGGTTCTCTCTAAACCAGCACTTCAGCATTTTAAAGCCCAAGTATACTCTAATAGGTCCGTGAATATCCAGAAGTGTCACAGAAAATTAGTGTGTATTTTCAAATGAGCATTTTTCAAAGACAGAGGGGCTTTTTTTCAGGTTCCGTGATCCTCAGGTACTCTGTAGTTATTACTAAGTTATCCTTTGGTACATCTGACCAGTCTAATAATTTCAGCTGTCACTATGCTAATTCCACACAATAATCCACAGTCTAGGTGCATCTTAATTTGAATGACCCATCATTACTTCATCTTGTAAATGCAAAAGAAAATTTACTTTTCCCTCATTAAATTGGCTCTTTCTGTTTCCTCATATTCACAAATGGATTGTCTTTTGTTTTTAAGATTTAAAATCGTATAGTTTCTCTTGACACCTTCCTCTCCTTATCCATTGTTGATTGTCAGGAAGCCAGTGTTGTATTGTTGGTTTATTTTTGTCTGCCTACTTCCAAATGTGGCTCACAGTAGCCCTCTTCTCTATTCTAGTATTTATTATTAATTGACTTTTTTTTTACCCTTTTGGCTTTATTATTGTAATGATTAAGTGAAGTCTGTAAATCATTCTTTTCATCCAGTTTGGCCTCCACCCAGCAGTTCTCCTAGTTCTTTAGTTAATACTGCATTCCTTTTTTCAGGGTAGGTGCAGGCCTCCTTCCATGACCTCTAGTCTTCCTTGCTCTTTTCTCAGTTGATAACTTGTCTCACTTTACAGTCTAGTTTTGTACTCTTACCTTTTGTTATAGTTGAATTTACTTTCAGAATACCTTGCATTTCCTAGTATTGTCATTTGGTAACAAATTAAACTTGTTAACTTTATTATTGCTATTGTAAATTTTACTTGGTAGTTGTTTCTGAAGGAAGTATATTAAAATCTCAATTTGATCATAAAATTGTCTTCCTTTATGGTTCCCATTTTTGAGTTTATAGTCTGTATATCAATGCAACGTTGGTAGACATATTCATAATTGGTAATGATTGTGTATGTAAATGTCCCGGCCTACGGGTGAGGGGGAGTGGGGATCAGAGGGGACAAGAGACACGAAGAATGGAGACAAGTCAGAAATACAATCAAGTCTCATTCAAGGAAAAAGTGACAAATATATAGGGTATTGGGGAAGGGGCTGGGTTCTGATGCGTCAGCAGGTAACTTAGCAACAGTGGGAAGTTCTGGGGGGGGCGGCTATAGGGTAGTTTGAGTCTCCTGCGCCAGGGTCCATAAATCAGGCTAATTAGCATGTTCACTGTACAGGCAGAACCACAGGGAGATGTGACAGGCTAGGTGAGGAGAGATGGAAACTTAACTGCTAAATAGAAACTTAACATTAAGATGCCTGTGTCTTTTTAACATAAGATGATGGCCATTGGCAGGGTTTCCTACATGTAAATATACATATATGGGGGGTTTTGTTGATGTTTTGGAAGTAGTAAGGCTTGAACCCAGGGCCTTCACACTGACCTACATCCCAGCCTGTTTTTAAATTTTATTTGAGAAATGATCTGAGTTGCTAGATTATCTGGTCCAGTTTTAAATTTGGTGTCCTGCTGCCTCAGCCTCCCAGAGTGCTGCGATTACAGGCCTGTTCAACATTGCCCTGCTGCTGATTGTCTTTTTTTTTGAGACAGGTTTTTGCTCTGTAGTTCAGACTGAATTTGAACTCACTTTGTACCCTAGGCAGGCCTCAAACTGGTAGCTATCCTCTTGCCTCAGTCTCCCAAGTGCTGGGAGTACAGGCATGTGCCACCACGCCTGGCCTCGTATCTTTTGAAACAATGCACAGTCCTCAATGATAGTCCAGGCTTAACATTGCTGTCTTCTGCTTCAGTCTTGGAACCATTCAGTCACCTTGTCCTTGATGGTCTGAATATAAAAAGCTCATTTCTGAATTTTTTTCTCGCATTTTTCAGTTTAATTCTCAATAATTTAACAATTTGTCATTAATTTCTGAATAATAATTTGCTTCTTCACCTGATTCAATTCATCACTAAAATGTGAGTTTGTCACTTTTGACCATACATCTAAAATAATACCCTACCTCTTGCTTTATTTTAATTCATAGCAACTTCTCTTATTCTGATACTTTATTATAATGTTGTTCTGATGTTATTGTTAATACCTCTTTTAATCATTATGCCATTACCTTAAATTTGTCTTTGTGTCTTCTGTTGTATATTTGAGATTCTTAGACTCAATTTTTAACCTCTAAGTCTTGGTTACAGATTCTCCTGCTGCTGTATTTGCTGATCCGTCAATCTGGGTGATGGTTCATTTCCTTGCCTGTTTTGTAATGTTTGTGTGTTAATGTTCAGTGCTCTTGCTTAGTGTGGGTGTCCCATTGCAGGGCCCTTACCTTGTGGTTTCAGTTAAATGATGAGGTTGCCTGCATAGCTGACCACTTTTCATTTGCGTAGCACTATGGAGGTAGTATGACTAGATGCAGACCTGAATGAAGTTCAACTTGTAGATTTCCCTTTACTGGTTTTGAGCATGGCTGTTTATCCAGAAGGACTCTAACTCTATTTAAGGAAATACTTTTTTTTTTTTTCTCTTGATTTTGAGACAGGTTTTCACTGTGGAGTTCAGGCTGGCCTTAAACAGGGCAGTCCTCCATGTAAGCCTCCTAACTGTTAGGATTACAGGCATGCACCACCATGCCAGGCCATGAAGTGTTTGTCTGGTGGGAGTTGCAGCGCTTTTCTGTTAATCTGGTTTATGACATTGTCTGTAAACCATGAAAAGGTCAGAAGAGCCAAGGCAGACAGGCTTCTTGTGTGCAGTTGAGTGTTTTTTTTTTAAAGTAATATGTGCACATGCAGTGTAGAAAGAAGATTTTGGTTCAGTGTCAGGTTTTTTGTTTATTTTGTCTTTTTGAGTCAGGGTTTCACTGTGAAGTTCAAGCTCACATTGTAACCCAGGCTAGCCTTGAACTTGCAATGATCCTCCGGCCTCAGCCTCCCAAGTTCTGTAATTACAGGCGTGCACCACCACTTCCAGCTTCAACAATGTTGTATTCCTAGTAATTTAATAGAGTCTTCATTCTTCTTTCTCAGTATTTGTTGTAGTCCAGGGTTGTACACAAAGAACAACTAGGATTAGGACATGGAATTTATAATATTTTTATAATGGTCACTGGAAGTTAACACAGGAAAATGCAGGTAATCTATCTGCAACACCAAAGACATAGATTATTTAGTCAAGAGCCTAAACCCCACAGCAATGTACCACATGAGTCCAGATAAAAACCCAGAGCTCAGAACAATGCCTCCCACAAGTCCAAGTGAAGGTCCAGAGCCCACAAGAAGTACTCACACCAGTCTCTTTTATGGATCTGTGCTGGGAAGACCCAAAGGTCAGCGGTGGAACCCAGAAAGTCCATGCCAGCAGGATGAAGGAGCTGTGCTAGTGGGATGAGGGTTCTACGCTGGAGCCGAGAAGTCACACTCACAACAAAGACCAGGGCTATCCTGAAAGGCACCACAGCTGTTCTCAGTGACATGGAGGCCCGAGCTCCTCCAATGACAAGCACAGTCGGGTATGTGCCAGGAAGCAGCGTGACGAGTTCATCCTGGAGACCAAGCAGCACATGTCTTCCCCTCCGGACCCAGGAAACAATGCTCGATGTGAGGACCAGAGCTTCTCGAGGAGAATCAACAGCTCAGACAGCAAGTCGTAAGAGAACCCACAATGCCTCCTTAACACCTCAACCCTCCACATCTCCCTTCTTCTCCACCTGTTTATTCTGGCAACTTTCCTCAGTTGGAGCATCTTCGCTCAATGCCTTGCTGATGTAATCCAGCTAGCGTTAAGTTGATCACCAGTTCTCAATCCATAACAGTATTCTTATACCTTTTTCTCATAAAATGTCTGTAGGTCCTGCAGTAAAACTATACTGTTTGCAATTTCTGAACGTACTCTTTGTGTTTTCCTACTTGCTTATTGTTTGTTTGCTTGTATTTTAGTGTTATTTTGCTTCCTCCCATCTCATCTATCTTAAATTACTATTTTTCAGGAGATTGGTTTTTTGTGACAGTCTTACTGTGTAGTTTAGTCTGGCCTTGAACTCACTGGGTCGCCCAGGCTTACCTCAAACTCACTGCGATGCTCCTGACTCAGCCCTGCCCCTTCTAGGATTACAGGCATGTACCAGCATACCTGGCTTGTCTTCATGGCTTTAACTGTTTGAAAATGTCATGTATTTGTAATCTTACTGTTATGGTCTGTGTCCCCACAACCTATGTTGAAATCCTAACACTTAAGGTGAAGGTAGGTATCAGGCGGTAGAGCCTTTGGGAGGTGATTAGGTTATGAGTAGGATTAATGCCCCTTTTAAGGAAGGACTCAAGAGAGCAAACTAGTTCCCTCTACCAAGTGAAGACACAGCTGGAAAGCACCATCTGTGAACCAGAAAGCAATCCCTAACTAGACACTGACGCTGCTAGTGACTTAAATCTTGAACTTCCCAGATTCCAGAAAGATAGTATTTTGTTATAGCAGCCCAAATGGATCAAGACATACAATATAAAGTCTTTTTCTGATTGGCTTCTTTCACATAGTAATGCTCATTTAAGTTTCCTCCATGCCTTTCAACATATTGATAGCTTATTTCTTTTTACCACTGAATGTTCCATTGTCTGTTCCACTTACAATGTCTATCGAAAAGCTGTAGTGTATATAGGATTCACACTATCTGCAGTTTCAGGCATCCATTGGGAGTCTTGAAATGTATCCTCTCTGGATATGAAGGGACTACTACTATGTCCCATTTTGTCCAGGCACATACCGAGAGACTTCTTGGGTACTTTCAAATTTAGCATTTATGAATAAAGCTGTTATAAATATTAACATACAAGATGTAAGTATGGACATAAGTCTTTAACTCCTTTGGGTAAATGCCAAGGAGCACAATTCCAAGACTGTATGATAAATACGTTTATTTATGTATTGCATTGTATGTTTTAGATGTCAGTTCTTTGTCATGGATGTCTCCTGTAAATATTTTCTATCTTCTCATTCTCTTGACATAACAATGGTACTGCCACACTGTTCTCCACAGTGGCTGTACCATTTTGCATTCCATTAGTAATCAGAGTTCCTGTTCTGCAACATCCTCCCCAGTGTTTGGTGGTGTCAGCACCTGGTTTCTGGCCTTTCTAATAGTGTGTAGTGGTATCACACTGGTGTTTGAATTTGCATTTTCTTGAGGGTATATGCAGAAAGCCAACCTACTGCAAACACCTAACCAGAGGAAGCGAACAGAGATGAAAGGAGAGGACAGGTAATTTTGAAAGAGGGGCCAGAAGACTCTTCCCACTAGTGGACAAAGAGCCCTGAGCATCTGGTTCACCTTGTTTCTAATCAGCTTAGTCAACGGAGCAAGCAATTAGGTTAATGGAAAATTCATCTGTTTTTCATTACTTGTAAAGTGTGACCAGGTAAGTATTTCTCAAAACAAGATCTCAGCTGTGTTGACTTCTTCCCTGAAACTTGCAAGGCCAGCATGCTGTCATGTTGCTAGAGGGAGAACAGCTTGCTCTTCTCTCCTCCGTGTCCACAAGGAAGGTCAACTGGGCCTCGATCCTCTTTGACTAGTTTCTCACAAGCTTGTAATGTGGTGCATCTTTTCAAAAGCATCAGTGTGTATCACCTGACCAAGAATCTGGCCAAGAATCTCAATTGTCTCTAGAATGCCTCGAGAAAAATAAAAAATAGAGACAATTTATCTAAAGACTTATAAATTTGAAGTATTTTGTCCTTAAGTATAATCCTCAGATGACTTAAGAAGACATAGATGATCTTATGTTTAGAAGTGTCTTGTCCTTGAGTATAATCTTTAAATGACTTAAGAAGGTATAGATGACCTTACGCTTGGAAGAGTCAATGAGAAATCCCAGATGGGTGGTACCAGTAATCCCAATCCTTTCTTTCCTCCCACAGGGAAATATGCAAAGCCAGTCACTGTGACTTTGTGGTCCCCAACAAGTATGCTTTGTATGTTCTATATATCAGTTCTCTGTCATGGATGTCTCCTGTAAATATTTTCTATCTTCTCATTCTCTTGACATTGTTTTTCACAGAACAAAAGTTTCTAATTTTAATGAAGTCCATCTCGTGTATTATTTCCTTGAATGGGTTATGTTTTTGGTGTTGTATCTGAAGAGTCATTGCCGTTTCTAGGGTTATCTAGATGTTGCCCTGTGTTATAATTTAGGAGTTTCATAGATTGTGTTTTACATTCATACTGGTGATCCATTTGAATTAATTTTTGTGAAGATTATGAGGCCTGTTTAATTTTTTTTTTGCATGTAGGCGCAGTTATTCTAGTGCTGTTTGTCTAGAAGACTGTCTTTGTTCCATTTTTTACTGCCTTTGCTTCTTTGCCAGACACTTAACTTATAGTTAATTAGGTATATTTCTGAGCCGTTTATGCTATGGATCTGTTTGCTTATCTTTCACCACTAACACACTGTGTCAGTGGTAAGTAATCTGCTTCAATGTTTTGTTGGCTACTATGGGTCTTTTGCTTCTCCATATAAACTTTAAATTTGTTGATGTTGACAAAATAAATGGCAAGGATTTTGATTGAAATTATGTTGCGTCTGTAAATCAAGTTGACAATATTGAGTCTTCCTTCTTGTTACTGTGTGGTAAATCCAACAAATAGATTCCATGCTGTTTTGTACAACAAGCAATGACTTGCAAAGCATCCATGCAATGGTCAATGAAAAGCAGTTGCATTGATTGAAGATCACAGGAGGATGTGCTCAGGGAAAGGTCTGTACCAGCAGAAACAATAAGGGTGACATGAACAGAAAAGCGGTGTTCTAGTGAGGGTGGGGAAAACAAGCATAGCATAGCACACAAGATTAATCAGGCTTTCAGTGCTCCCCAATCCGTCTGCCGCTCTTTGGGTCTCTAGGTAAAGTTGGCAGGAATGATTGACAGAGTGCAGAGTCATTTCAGTGCTTCAGTGAGCATATGTTTCCAATGATTCAATCTGATTAAATTATAACATGAGATGCAGTCCGTATTTCTGAGCCATTCATGAAGTCCAGGTGGGGAAAAAGTTCTTGAAGGCCAAGAGATGTAACTGCATGCATTCTATCCTGGAGCTTCAGGGAATTCCTAGGTCTTTGTTCTTGTATTTGCTGCTTTTCTCATAACAGTGGAAGGAGGACTGGGCCTTGAGTCTGGCCCAAACTCAGGTTGGTAGAGAGTGGTCTTCCAGCCCACAGTGTATTATCTGTACCACTCTGCATGAGCACGGGTTATCTCTATATTTAATTCATTGGGTTTTTTCAGTGTTTTATATTTTTTCTCACTTAGAGCTTGTATACATTTTATTAGATTTATACCAAAGTATTTTCATTTTAAGGGGGGATTGTAATTTAAAGGGTAGTGTGCTTTGTTTTGAATTTCACTGGTTCATTATTGGTATAAGAGAACACTTTTCCATATTTTAACTTTTTGTCTGTGTATTTCCTTTTTGTGTCTTCATGCATTAGGACTTGTGGTGCAGTGATAAAAAGCAGTGGTAAGAAGGGACATCTTGACTTGTTCTTAATCTGAGTGAGCAAGCTGTAATTTTTACCCTTAGTTATGATACCTGCTATAGGATTTTTCTTTTTAGGGTTTTGTTTGTTTATATTTACTTAGTTTTTTGGTAGTGTATATCAAGTAGAGGATGTTTCCTTCTATTTCAGTTTATTGACAGTGAATGTGTGTTGGATTTTGTCAAATGTTTTTTTCTGCAGCTATTGGTAGACTAATAAATTATTCTTTTTTTAGCTTATTGAAGTGATAAATTATGTTTTTTCATTTTCACAGATTGAGCTTATCCTGTATACATTCTATTGTATTTTTTAAAAAATGGGTGTAATCATTATGTATTATAAGCATATCCTAATAAAAATTTTAAAAAAGAAAGATGGGTGAACTAAAAAATGTCTTTGAATCTGTTTGTCTACTTTAAGGTCCGATTTCTGTTCTTTATGTTACCAACTAAGCTAGTATATGAGTTTGAAGTATCTTTAAAGGGGTTTGGATGTGAAGGTCCCAGAAGAAAAGAAGCATAAACAGGCCTAGGGAGTACAGATACGAATGACCTTAAGTAACTTTGATTCTGTCCCAAAGTTGCAGTTAAAAAAAAAAAATACAAGTATATACCTTGTCATCTCTCTGCCTGTCTTGATTTCTTCTATCCTGCCTCAGTACTACCCAGTTTTTCTTTTTATTGACTCAATACTGAAAGATGAATTATTTTCTATTAGTTTAAAATCTATATAAGTCATATTGAAATAATCCTTTTTGAAACAATTTACTAAATTGTTAAAACATTCTTGTATTTTATCTTTTACCCAATTTTGATTTTACCTTTTTTAAGTTCTATTTTAGGTAAGACCATGATTTGCGGCATTTCATAAATGAAGCATTGAGGAATGAAATGAGATAATGTCATACAGAAAATAAATGATAGTTATGTCTATTAGTTTGACCATAGATATATATATTTACCTCCTTAGTAATGTGAGAAGTCTTTGTGGAAAGCAGAGAAGCAAGCAGCTGCATTTTGTGTGCTCTCCTCGACATTACTGGTGGATAAGCCATCGCAGTCTACAAAGAGGTTTTCACACAAGCAGGCTAAGATGTAAGTGGACCAAAAGTGAAGCGTGTTCCTGCAGTAAGCCCTGTCACTCTCCAAGCGGCCATGGTTTACATGTTGGTATTTGGAAACTTAGCACTTCTGCTCCCAAGGGACTTACAAAAGTGAGCATTCGCATGTCTCGTATTAAAAGTACTTTGAATTCTGTTTCAAAAGCTGTTTTTGGTAGTCAAAATGAAATGATTTCACGTTTAGCTCAATTTAAGCCAAGTTTTCGAATATTAAAAAAAGTATCAGATAGTGGCTTGTCAAAAGAGAAAAATACTGAAGAAGGCATCAAATCTTTGAAAAAATACAGTGACGACGAATCAGCTGAAAAGAGTCCTTTTGCAGAAGAGAAAAATCACCTAATAGATAAAGAAGATACAGGTAAACAAAGCCTTTTTCATTATACAAGTCATATAACCACAAAATTTGGAGAATCATTCTACTTTTTATCAAATCACATTAATTTGTACTTCAAGCGTGAGGAAAAAATGTCTCCAAAAACCGAAAATAAACATTTTGAGGACAAAGCAGAACTCGAAAATGGAAACACTGAAGAAGGGAAACCCAGTTCTCCTGGTCCTGGCATCCTGACTGGTGAGCCAGGCTCGCCGCCTTCCGTCGGTTCCGTGGCCAAGCCTGCGGGCCCAAATGGGGTACCAGAGGTTCTTCCAGTTTCCACGAAACAGAGCATCGCTAACTTTTTTTCTCGCCCCACGGAGGGTGTCCAGGCTTTAGTAGGTGGCTATATCGGTGGCCTCGTCCCCAAGTTAAAGTATGACTCCAAGAGTCAGGCAGAAGAACAGGAAGAGCCTGTTAAACCGGAGCAGGCTGACGGAAGTGCAGAGGAGAAAAAGCGAGCGTCTCTCCAGAGGGAAAAGGCAAGTGCTTACTCAGTGCGGTTTCAATTGGATTAATTGTGTCAAACGTGTAAGTTTCGTTTCTTAATGAAACATTAACCATTTGTTACAAGTGTCATATGCTAATCACGAATATTTAATGTGTCTTTCTAGATTATTGCAAGAGTGAGTATTGATAACAGAACCCGGGCGTTAGTGCAGGCGTTAAGAAGAACATCAGACCCAAAGCTCTGCATTACTAGGGTTGAAGAACTGACTTTTCATCTTCTAGAATTTCCTGAAGGAAAAGGAGTAGCTGTCAAGGTAATTTTTGATTTACATAATCAGGTTTTGCCTTGCACTAAAATACTAAGTTTTTATTTTAAAATTTTTGTGATCTTTATCATACATGTAATTGTGTGTTCAGTAATTGCACCATTTTCTATAAATCATGCTGTTACTAGTAATATCTATATATTCAGGTTAGACATTTATATGAAATAGGAATGTCAGTATATTTATTAAATTGCCTAAAGTTTGCCAAGTTTTTAATTGCAGCGCCAGTGTTTATATTGTATAATTACTCTTTTAAGACAGGACATAAAATTCACATATGGAACCAGTACTAGTTTTAATTTTAGATCTTTTCATGTTTGAAAGTCTAAAGTTTTAATGACCTATTTGTGTTAAATTAAAATTTAATTATACAGTTTCATTCTTGATCGATAAAGGCAACAAAATATTTTTCTTCTCAACATAGGAAAGAATTATACCATATTTATTACGACTAAGACAAACTAAAGATGAAACTCTTCAGGCTGCAGTTAGAGAAATTTTGGCCTTAATTGGTTATGTGGATCCCGTGAAAGGGAGAGGAATCCGAATTCTCTCAATAGATGGAGGAGGAACAAGGTAAGGTTAGAAAATTGCCTTCTAAAAACTACAGATGCAGTTCAGCTGTAGGAGTCGTAAACATCTGATTTGATAAATTGTATCACTATAAAACTAAAATTTTAAAATATGAAATCATGTTTTTTGTTTATAACTTCAAGTCTCAGTAACTCTATCATATGCTTGAGTCACCTCATTTTGATTTAGTTTAGTATTTATATTTTAGTTTGACCTTTTTAGACCTTTTTATTAATTTGGAAGCTTATCAACCATTATTCTTGTAAAATCTTGGCAGTATTACAATGTTAGCGTGCTTTGTTAGGTTAGTTAACAGCGTTTAATGAGGGATGGTGAGCACAGGCGTCTGTGTCCTTGCTGACTTCCTTGCTCCACGTGTTTGGTACCATACCAGAGGTAAATGCTTCCTTGGTCAGGAGATAATTTCACTGTCAGACTTCATTTTTACTTCTGGCAGTCCACTCATGCTTATTCTGTCGTAGATGATCTCATTTCTGCCATTGTGTTGCTTAGATTGATGGCTTGGTTTTTTGAAACTCTCCACTCATGGTTTCTAGCTTGGCTTTAGCTCCTGCCATCTCTGTCCTGACCTCTGAGACTTACAGGCTGTGCCCGGCCTACCACTTTTTCCTTTAATTTCTCTGATTTTGTTCTCTATCCCTGCCTTGCCGATCACACTTCTCTCTTCTTTATCTTTTATTAAATTCCCCAGTCTCACCTGTCACCTAAGTCCTATATGGTGTGACACGGTGTGAAAGAAGGATTGAGTGATAAATGATTTAAAAATTGAGGAACAGGACACTGAAGTACTAGAACGGTGCCAGTGGGAATTTTTCAGGAGGAAGAAAGATACACTAAACTTGTTTTGAAGAAATACGGAGACTAGATATACTATAATTAGGACAGAATCATTCTAAACACAGCACAGGGGGGAACTGGGATAGAATGACAGAGACAGGAAGTGAGTGGCGCTGGCCAAGACGTCCTGGGCATGTTAGGCATGTTGGATGTGAGCTTACATGCTTCTGCATAGAAGCGCTCAAATAGCAAAAGGCCAATATTTTAGAAGATCTCAGTGGATGTTTCTTAGAAAAATGAAATCATCCAAGGAAGTGTGCATCAGCCGTGTGTTGTATAAAGTGGTAATGAATTGTAGAAAATCATCATGGTTAACAGAATCAGTTCCACATGATGAGAATAAGGAACGTGATAGTTAAATGAGGAAGAAGTTTCCGAAGGAGCAGGAAGAATCCTCTTTTGCGTTCCAGAGGAGGAAAACAGCGACATGGAAAAATAAAAAAAAACTTACTGAGTAGTAGTGGGAACTGTGAAAAAAAAATTAAGCAAAGTAAAAGAATATAGCCTAAAAGTGGCATTTTAAAGAAGGACCCTGATAGATTTTTTTAAGAAGTGAGAAATACATAAGCACAGATGTAAAGGAAGAACATTGAGGGACATTCAGATGGCTAAAATGAGAGAGGTATGGTGAAAAGACAGTTGTGACTAATACTTGATCTGTTAGGAAAAGAGTTTTACTGGTCATAGAGGGAAGAAATTAGTGAAGGAACTTGGAGAAATCTAGGAGTATGTTAAGATGAAGGTAAGTTAGGATCAGTGATCCTCTGGTGGAGGTGACGCTGTCCCATAACACTAACATTGTCTGGACATGTTTTTGTTGTCACACTGGAGTACTTTCACTTACATCTCATTTGAAGGGAGCAGTTGCTACTGAGCACTCTGTGATCCATATAGCATCTCCCTGAAGCAAGGATCAGCCACCCAGGGAGTCAGAGGCCCTGCGGTGACTAGCCACAGAGGGAGGTTTGTGTGGAAGGCAGTTAAGTCTGAGGGCTCGGAGTAAAAGAAACCAAAATACACCTCTGTGTGTGTGAGCCACAACTGGTAGTACAGTGTTATGCAAATGACAACCTGGCAAATAAATATATATGTGTAATTTTTTTAAAAACTCATTTTGAATTAATTTACAAATACTTCATTTTTAAATATTTCCCCCCTAATTATATAAGTGATTAGAAAAACTTGGGTGGAAAAGAAAAGAAAAAACCAGAGCTAAAAGTGTCAAGATTATTTTAATATTGTCATCAGTGTTTTCTGTGTGATGTATACTGAAAGACAATAGAGATCACATAGTTAAATGTTTTATTTGGTATTATCTTTTGTGAGGGGTACCAGGGCTCACAACCGCGAACCTGCAAGGCTGGCGCTTATGCCACTGAGCTAAATCCTCAGTCCTTGGTATTATCTTTAATTCTTCATTTGCCACCTTAAATTAATATTTCTGTTTTTTATAAGACACCTTGTTTTCAAATTTGAATTGTTTATCACTAAAGTAATTCAGGCTGACCTTGAACTGACTACATAGCACAGTGATTCTCCTGCCTCAGCCTCCTGAGTGCTGAGATTACAGCATGCACCGCCATGCCTGGTGAGAGTTCAGATGTTTTTAAAAAATGTAGGGCTGGGGATTTAGCTCAGTGGCATAAGGCCCTGCCTTGCAAGCACGCAGTTGTGAGTTCAATCCTTGTACCAAAAAAAAAAAAAAAAAAAAAAAAACCCAAAAACAACAACAAAATGTATCATCCCATTGTTATGTTAGTATTTTTAAAGATACTAATATAAATTTTTAAATGTACTACCATTGCACAGATTTTATAGCCTTTAAGTTCTAGATTTTTCAACAGGGATTCTCAGTTTCGGTCAGTCAATAGTAATTTATATTATTAGTTTTGATGTTAGCATATAAGCTACAAAGGCAGTTTATAGAATTGTTTGATTCAGTAACTTGAATTAATATTCCTCAAGACCGGAATTCCCACTTTGCATTTAATCTTTTCTACAGGGGTGTGGTTGCTCTTCAGACTCTGCGGAAATTAGTTGAACTAACTCAGAAGCCAGTTCATCAGCTCTTTGATTACATTTGTGGTGTAAGCACAGGTAATTATCCGCAGCACCGAAGCAGTGCATAATAGCAGCACATTAAAGAAAAGCACACTACACAGTCAGCCTTAATGTCATGGGTGGTGTGTGTGTTTATGATGATAACCCTTTGGTTTGCTTTATGAACTTTTAAAAATCTTTATTGATTAACATTCAAAAATGAATTTTATGTGCTTTCATAATACGTTTTCAGTAAGCCACCGTGGTTGGACAAATTGCTGTTGTTTTATGGAACTGTCATCGTAAATAGAGTAGATAAAATAGAAGGAAGATCAGTACTCGCTATATTGGAACCAATAGAAAATCTAAGATAGGATTTTACCCTTTTGTGAGGTTTGTCTCTCAGTGAGGAAATTGTTTTATACATCATTTTTTATGTTGTTTGAAATCATAATTTAAATTGATAAAATTTGAGAAAGCTACTTTTACACACTGCTAGTGGTATACATATAGTAAGATTTTGTTTGTATAGAAAGAATTGGCAATTTAATGTGATTGTTACTTTGAATTTTACTGTTTGACCTGGTAATTTCTCACTTCATGTTAGTTTACATTCATAGTTTTTTTTTAAATGGAAAAATGTAAAACAAAATTTCATAACAGTATTATAAGAATAACATTAGTTAATAGATCACATGTTGTTATCTTTAAGTAGTTGCTCAGGATTCAAGATACAAGCATAAAAATTTCTCTAATTGATATTAACACAAACATTTTCAATGGAGAAGAGACAATAATAGTATCAGCAACATAAGCGCCTGCCTTGCAAGCAGGCAGTCATGAGTTTGACTTTTTCCCCCCTTTCCTATTCTTTCCTCTTTTACCCAACCTCGTTCCTTTTTCCTTTTAAAGAATTTCTTCCCACTTCACAACGTCTGTTGTATGTTTCAGAATTTACTTTTTTAGTTTCTCCTATCAGGGAGACAGTATGATGTTTATACATAATTTCATTTATAAGTATGGTATCAAGTTGCATCCATTTACCTGTAAAAGTCTCAAGCTTATCCATCTTTATGGCTGAGCAGTACTCCATTGTGTAAAAATTCCATATGTTTTTTAATCCATTCCTCAGTTGATAGGTTGATCTGGGTTGTTTCCAAGATTGAGCTACCACAGTTTGTAGTGCTAGAAACATAGGTGCACATATATCGTTATGGTACAGTGTTTTGATTCTTCTGGTAAGATAACCAGAAAGGAAATAGCTGGGTGGATTAGGACCTCTAATTCTAGTTTTTTGAGGAATCTCCACACAGATTTCCAGAGTGGTTGCACCAGTCTACACTCTCCCCAATAGTGAGAGCCCACAGCCCCTTCCAGCATTTGTTATTGGTTGATTTCTTTCTTTCTTTTTTTTTTTTATTTTTTTTGGTACCAGGGATTGAACTCACAACCTGGTGCTTGCTAGGCATGGTCTTAGGTTACTGAGCTAAATCCCCAGCCATTGGTAGATTTCTTGATGGTAGACATTCTTTCTGGAGTGAGATGAAAGCTCAGTGTTGTTTTAAGTTGCATCTCTCAAATGACCAGTGATGTTGAACATTTTTACATGTATTTATTTGCCATTTGTGTATCTTCATCTGAGAAGTGCATATTCATCTCAGATGCCCATTTTTGGGTTGGGCCTGTAAATTTAGGGGTTCTGTTTTTTTTATATGTTCTAGATGTCAGTCCTTTGGGGGACAATTGGTTAAAATTTCCCACTCCTGATTGTCTTTTCTCGTTGTTGATTGCTTTTGATGTGCAAAACTGATCCCAGTTGTTGATTCTTTGAAGTATTTCACGTCATAGACTTTGTAACTTTTCTCATTCTTTTAAGTTACAACAGTAGTTTAAAAATGAATACAAACAAAATCAAGTGATTTCTCTACATCATTAGTTTTGAACATGACCATTATTTCCAAAAGAGTGTTAATTGATGCTCGCTTGTCATTACAAACTGGGAATAATTACAGGGATGATCTAAAAACCTGAGGAATCCATTGGTATATGGAATCAGCAGAACAGTATTTAGGATAGAAAATGTTGGATTACAGTAGAATGAGTTCTTTAAAGACGACGTTCAATGGTTATAATATGTTGGAAATGTGACTCAAATAGGAAAATGATAGGTGGATCCCAAGTCAACTTAACTCTGGAAACTTCTTAAAGAGCATTTCCCATAACTGTAGTGTTCTTTTGAAAATATTACCCTGATCATTCCTCTAACATTTGGAATGGTCCTAGGAATTCAGACATTTAAACATATTAGAAACTAACTTGTTGCTTTGACTCCACTGTTAGAGAAAGCTCAGTAAAGAGAATCTCAACTGAGATTCATTTATGAGGTAAAGGATCAGTTTATGTAATATGTACATTTCTGTTTTACAGTGTATCTTTTTCACATGTTTTATTTATACTGATGTTAGGTTGTGTTGTCATAATTTTCTTTTTTCATTTTTTATAGTTTGCAACTGCTCTTTTTAAAGTTGGTACAGTATATTAAAGATGTAATAACTTAGCAATAGTTAATTCAGTTTTAAAATTCTATCCTCATGTATCTTAAAAGTAACATATTTGCAAGTTTTTGTGTTAATTAGAAAATTTCTACAAATTAAAAAATAGTTTCTATTATATAAGCTATAACAGTGTAATTTTAAAACATAACTTGTCTGATCTTTTATTGGTATACCAGTTACAGTAAAATAAGTTAAACATTCAGACTGTGTTATGGTAGTGATGTCTTGGTTTTCCTTTGTGTTTAGTTGCAGTCTCAGGTTGGGTGGTAATAACGAGCAGGTCTTTGCCCTGTCCTGTGGGCGCTCCATACCCCAAAGTGGTCTCCTTTCTTTCCTCAGGGTTAGGCCAAGTGGACACACTAGGTGGCAGTGTGACCTACCAATTACAGCTAGTAGATAAATGTGCATTTAAAAGGAGGTACACAGTAACTGATTTCTTTAATTACATTGGTTCTAGGACCAACTTGACATAGTAACTGCTTATTAAATCGGTGAGTTTTCAATGTACTATATTCAGTGACTAAAACTAAGTAATGTATTAATATCTGGCCATCATCTACCGTGATCTCTGACTTACATGTATTTAATTTAGTGTTGCAACATTTTAAAATATTTTAAAAGTGTTATCATTTTGGGATATCATTTATCTGGCCTTTTTGAGACCCTGTAAAATTTTACATGTGTTAGCTTAATACAAAGAACTTAGGCATTTTAGTTGTTTATCCCCATTTTATTTATTTTTAGTAGTGCGTATTTGCAACACATGGTTACCTTCCCGTGTGGAGCTGGTACTTGTGTATAGCACACCTTAATTTCTTTTTTCATCCCCTTTCCTTCTCTTCCCTGTCCTCTCCCTAGTGATAAGTGAAGTAAGTCAGATACACAAGCTTAAATATTGCATGGTTTCTGATATATGAGAAACCCAAATTAAAAAGAAAGAGTAAAATAAGAGATAGATAACAGTTGGTAGGAAGATAGATCTTTATCCCCATTTCACATTTGAGAAAATTGGGACTTGAGAAATTAAGTCGTCTGCGCTGGGTGAGGTGGCTAGAAGTTAAGCCAGGTCAGTGACTCAGGAGGTCTTACAGGCATAAGTGCAAGTAACATCAGTGCCAGTAAAAGCTCACAGTCTAAAAGCTCACAGTTCTTTCTTTCAGGTGCTGTGTTAGCTTTCATGTTGGGGTTGTTTCATATGCCACTGGATGAATGTGAGGAACTTTATCGGAAGTTAGGATCAGATGTATTTTCACAAAACGTCATTGTGGGTACAGTCAAGATGAGTTGGAGCCATGCATTTTATGACAGCCAAACATGGGAAAAGATTCTCAAGTAAGTTACGATTGTTCTTTTTTAAAATGTTCCTATTAACACACACCTGTTATCCCAACACTCAGGAGGCTGAGGCAGGAGTATTGCTGTGAGTTCAAGGCTAGCTAGAGCTACAAAGTAGATTTCAAGGCCAGCCTGAGCCGCATGGTGAGGCCTTTTCTCAAAAACAGCAAAAACAAAACAACAACTAAACATTAATGTTTTTGTCTAGATTTCCTACAAATAAATGAGTGTGTATGGATTTTGTTTGTGTAATCATTTCACTTTAAACATTGGGGTATTAACATATGTGTAGTTGGATATCCTGCATTTTTATTTGACATTTATCACAAATTATTGCCTATGTTTGGTTTTTGGTTTTGGTTTTTTGGGGTTTTTTTTGTACTGGGGATCAAACTCACAGCCTTGCATTTGCCAAGCAGGCATTTACACTGCTGAGCTAAACCTCCATCCCCAATGTCATTAGTTATTTTTAAAACATATTTTAATTTTTTGTCTTTTGTTTTTGTTTTGAGGCAGGGTGTCATTGTATAATGCAGGCTGGCTTTGAACTTGATTATGTAGTCTGAGTTGGCCTCCAACTCAGGGCGAACCTCCTGCCGCAAAGCTTGTTTTAATAATTGTTCACTGTCCTGTTTTATAAATGTCCTTTTTTTTCTAAAGGAGAAAAGGTTGAGAGAGACAAGAATCTTGTCTATTTTGGAAAACATTGTTTGAGTATGTTATACTAATACTTAGAAAAGTTTATAAAGGGGAGATCACTGAGCAATTGGTAAATACTTTATGTGAAATTCACTAATTCTAGTTGAAAAAAACATGACTGTTGTGTGATAATGGCATTAGAAAAATGGTTTGGCTCATTAGAAAGCTTTGTAAAACCATAGTTTTCATGATCAGGAGATTTTTTTTTTTAATTGAAATAAAATCTTCATTGAAGCTAAATTCCCTTACGTTGTAAAAACTACTGTCCAAGAAGTTTCTGTACTGTTGCAGTGATATAAATGCCAGCTCAGATGATTGTAAAAGCAATTTTTGGATGACATTGACTCTACACCTACATGTGCTACATCCCAGTACCTGCGTGTGCCTGTACACCCTTAATGTCTGGATGTCTTCACTTGGTTTTAGGTAGCTTTAGTCTGCCCGCACTTCTGCAGTCTTATCTCAACAAAACTTCTTCATCCTGTCAGTAGAACCCTGGAAATAAAAGATTTATTCTTCTTTTATTTCTTTGCCCTATATATTTGCTGGCTTTCAGTATATTTCCTTGCTGTCTTTTGGTATCTTTCTCAAACTATGCGTACACTTCTGAACATCTTTTTTGGTTACTGCAGCCTGTATTGATTGATCCATCTAAGAACCATAGATATTTGCACTTTGAATTAGAGTTTAATGAATAACTACCTATTGTTTCACATGAATCAATTAGATTATAAGACCCTTAGAAGAGATGATTATATTTCTTTTTTGTCCCTTATAGCCCTTTGACATAGCCACAGGGGAGCAGTCCCTGATTGTTAAAGAGATACATTCATTTTGATACCAGTTTTTTCTTCTCATTTAATACAGGGATAGAATGGGATCTGCACTAATGATTGAAACAGCAAGAAACCCTGCATGTCCTAAGGTGTGTTTATCTCTTAGATGTAGCATTTGGAAGAAGGTCTGGCAAAAGTGCTTCCTCTCAGGGCCTTCTTGTTGAGAACAGTTCCTAGAATTTCACCTGATAGATGTTATTCTCTTCATATTGTTTCATTTTGTGAATATGTGCGATGTGATGATTAGATCTTTTCTCTATCCAGTGAAAAAGTTCCACAGAATTTTAAGAGCAAGAAAGTCTGGAACTGAATAGAGACGAATTATTTTATCACGATTATTTTAATCAAATCTAGTAATTTAAAGAAAATTACTACAATACTTTCCCTAGGTTTTTAAAAATGTTATGTCCTATTGATATATATGTAATATTACTATGACAAATAGAATCCCAATTTTAAAGATAGGTCTTACTGCGACTCTTCATTTGTTTGAAACCTGATTATCTGAGTACTGTTTGAGTTCTGTTTTTTTAAGATAATACTTAATTTGCTTGAGGAATATAATTTCTCTGCCTAGGAATCTAATGCGTCTTACATTCTTGGATGACAAGCAGCAATAATGAAAAATCAAATACAGTTTCTTCTGTTGCTGTTTAACTGCATTTCCTTTTTTTGTTTCTTTGTTTTCTTGAGACAGGGTCTCACTGTGTAGTTCCAGTTGGCCTTGAGCTCACTGTGGTTTTTTTTGTTTTGTATTGTTTTGTTTTTGTTTCTTGAGACAGGGTCTCAAAAACAAAAACTGTAGGGCAGGCTGACCTCAAACTCTGTGTGGCCCAGGCTGGCTTTGAACTCACAGTGATCCTCCTCCCTCAGCCCGCCGAGTGCAGGGATTACAGACACGTGCTGCCACGCCCAGCTACGTGGTGTTTTCATGTCTTCATTCCTTCTGCACATATTCACTGCACCCTCTGTGGGAGCGCTGTGCGAGGCTCGCTGGATACACAGTGAGCAAATACAGCAGTGGAGTTCACAGCCCTGTAAGCCGATGTGGCTGGCGAAGCAGTAGGCACACAAGTGAGATAGGGCTTCCTGAGGTCAGTGCCATGGAGTACTTGGAAAGCATCTATTGAAGGTCCACAAGAAAAGGCTGCTCAGTGAGAATCGCTGTGGAGGCCACGAATAGGAACGTTGCTGCCAGCGGGACAGAGAGAATGGCTTTGCAGGAGGAATGTGGAGAACTCCAGAAACTGAAAGAGTTTGAAGGCGGAGTCCAAGGGTCCAAGGACTGCATGTAGCATGAGTCTGAGCTGTAGGCAGATTCCACCATGCACGGGCCTCCCAGGCCTTGGTAATGGGCGACTTGGGCTGTTTTTTGGAAAGGAGCCTAGGATGCTTTGTTCCCATGTGTCTCCTGGACTCTGCTTGCTTCCAAGTTGTAGAAGTTGTCACCTTTAAATAGAAGAATATTGTGAGTGTGAGGAAACTTTAGTCAGAAAGGACTTGATCATCATAAAATGTATGAGAGCCACACTCCACACATTTCTTAACCCAGTTTTATCTATATTTTGTACTATATAATGTAAAGACCTGGATTTAATGTTAGACCAGGTCTTAACCATAGTGACCTAGGGATGCAAATGAATACCTTACAGGAATTTAGGATGTGACCTTTGTTCATTAAATAGCAAAGCAAACAGGTCCATGGTGGGGCTTGGCACAGGGCACTGAAAACTTAGGCCTCCATACTTGTCTGCCTCTTGAATTCATATTACAGATCCTAATAAATAATGGAACACTTTATTTAAACCTAGTGGACAGCGAAATATGAGACCTGGAATGATTAATGTTACAGTTTCTTAATAAAAATTAATCTAGCTACCAATTTTTAGTAACTATGACTTATGATACTAAGAGTTTGTGTAGTAGTAAGAAGCTAGAATAGAATCAGTACTTTTTTTTTTTTTTTGGTACTAGGGACCGAACTCGCGACCTCACACTTGCCAGGCAGGCACTTATACCACTGAGCTAAAACCTGGGCCCCTAGAATCAATACTTTAAAAAAAAAAAAGAACAGAAACAAAGACTCACTTGAAAAAGATACATGCATTGTGAGAATTGTGAAAATGCGTATGTTCGTCTTTAGTAGTTTGTATTGTTACAACTATGTCATAAAGATCTAGAAATGTGTGCCTTTTAAATAATATGTAGTTAAGTACATCTTTATTGTTCTTTTCTAATACATTTCTCAGAATTATCTCTAGCCTTATATAAAAAATAACCATGTTACACATTGGTCTTGGAGTGCTGAAGATTGTTCATTCTACTAAACAGTATTTAATTTCTACAGATCCTAAATGTTGTTGTTATAGTGGTACTGTTTACTTTTTAATTTACTAGGTTGCTGCTGTAAGTACCATAGTAAACAGAGGGATAACACCAAAGGCTTTTGTGTTCAGAAACTATGGTCATTTTCCTGGAATCAACTCTCATTACTTGGGAGGGTGCCAGTATAAAATGTGGCAGGCCATTAGAGCCTCCTCTGCTGCCCCGGGCTACTTTGCAGAATATGCATTGGGAAATGATCTTCATCAAGTAAGTAGACTTACATGGCTGTCTTTTTAAATTTTACATGATTACAGAAATCAGCTGTTACTAAATGGTCATCAGTTTCACAAGGATCAATCAAGGGACTGCGTCAGTGTTAATACTGTTGTCCAAAAATACCCAGTTCAAAGCTGGGAATAGTGGTGCACATCTGTAATCCTTGCACTTTGACAGACTGAATCAGGGAGATAGCAAGTTCAGCCCCAGCCTGCACAACTAGCAACTTAGTGAGATTCCATTACAAAATAAAAAATAAAAAGCACTGGGAACGTACTTTAGTGTGAAGACCCAGTTTTACTGATGAAAAAATGAGATAATATATATGATTAGCTATTACATGATAAAAACTAAAAATGTCCAGGCACAGTTGCACACACCTGTAATCCCAGCACTTGGGAGACTGAGGCAGGAGAGTTGTTGTGAGTTTGAGACTGGGCCACAAAGTGAGCTCAAGGCAGCCTGAACTGCACAGTCTCAAAAACAAACAAAACTAAACTAAAAGTGAAATACATTCTGTGAAAATCCAGAACTCAGTCTTTGCTTCACAGCTCTGGAAGGTATAGTTTGATTTGAAGGAGATAATACAATAAAGTAATATAGTAAACACTCAATTAGTTGCATACTATATACACTTAATGCTTTTTATATGTTTTCTCATTTAATCATTTCTACTCATGAGAGAACTATTTCCATTCTCTTCTCATCTTTCCTAAAGCAGTGTCATAATCTTTGTAGTAAAGAGATTAAAATAGGATTTCTTTGATCTTTGGAATCATTGCAGACTTTGTCTGATCAGTCCTTGTTGAATTACATAAGGAGCTTCCCCTTCTTGCCTCGTGTTTTGTTTTCCTCCCCTCCCTCAGGATAGAAAGTGCTGGCTGTTGAGTATCTTTCTGTCATAGGTTTCAGGATCTATTGTTCAAAATAATTTTGCTCATTTTTATTTAGGTGACTGGTGGTCTCCAAATTATGTTGAAAAATATACCCTGATAATCACTGCTGTAACAAATTTAGCATACTTTTCACAAATTATTTATGTAAAAGAAGCAAATACACATAATTTTATAATACCTTAAACGTTTTATTTCTTACTATAAGACATTGATCTTCATAGTCTAAATTTTCTGTAATTTCCAACTTGTACCTGTATGAATATATGTATGTATTTCTTTTTGGTACTGGGGATGGAACTCACAACCTTGTTGTGATCTCCTTGTTACCAGGCAAGCGCTTGCGCCACTGACCTAAATCCCTGGCCTGTACCTGTATTTAAATACAGCTTTAATCTGTTAAAGATTGGTTGCATCCCTAAATCTAAGAATTACTGCTTTTAGTATAAATATATTGTCATATTTTTATAAAGTTTTACAAAACTGAATAAGCATGTTTTGTTTTAAGCCATGCTCCTTCTATTGCTTGTAAAATCTAATTTAATAATAAAATTTATTTTAATATGTAAGCTTCCTGTCCTTAACAGCTACTTGCTTGTATTCTTATTTTATTCTGGCCATGTCATAAAGGGAGAGACAGCCTAAATGATGTATTTAAAATAAAATATTTAAGGTTCAGAAAGTATAACTAGGATGGTTACCTTGCTACAAACTTACGGTTATGCTAAATATCAGGGACTATTTCCATTCAGGACCAAACATTTTCAGACTTCAAAAGATGTTAAATTCGTTGCTCTATATTCTTTGCTTAAGAGGAAGTATTTTAAAAATTTAATTAAGTCCTTTTGATGATGTATATAAGACAAACCAAACCTAAGTAATTCAGTGGTGTCTTTTCCACTTTATATGTACAGACTAGTGATACCTGTTTTCATGCTCAGCCATTTTTTGTATTGATGATCATAAATCTTTCGAATTCTTTTGCACTACAGACTAAAATAACTTCATATAAATTATGTATAAAAATTGGAAAAAGATACATGTAAGTCAGTGGCCTACAGAAAAGTTGGCTCATTTACTAAAAATATTCAAACAGGATCTGGAGTTCAAAGAACCTATTTCAGTATCTGTCTCATGATGGAGTCTGTTCTTCTAAGATTTCAGGTAGAAGAAATGGATATTTTTCCTCTCAAAAATCAACTGAAAAGTTTGATAAGAATTTCTAAAGTATGAACAACTTGAATGGTTAAACAATGTTCAAGCAAAATTTCTGCCTCTTTCTAATCTTTCAGAAGTTGCCAAGGTTAGCATTAAAATAGAGTACTTCAACTTTTTCATCCTAAATCCTTTGAATAATTATATTCAGCTACTTCCAGACTCATTTCAGAATTGTTTTCACTGTCATATCTGACATACATCTTAGTTTAAGTTACTTCATGTCCTTTTTAGAACTAAGTAGAACATAAATTATAGGTTAATACTCAGCAGTTACTGAAAGTAGTGCTATAATTAAGAGGTCTGAATAGATGGATGTGAATATGTCATTTGCCTTTGACTATAAAAAGAACATTATTATTACAGTTACTTGCAAGGCATCTGAGGTATCCTAGAAAATTGTAAAGTAGGAGGAATTCTTTAGTGCCAGTCACTACTTCTTATTCAAGTAGTAACACGCCAAGAGAATTAAAAACAAGCTACACATGGGAAGAAAATGCACACCATACATTTAACAAAGGAAATATATCCAGGATATTTATGGATACTGTATGTAAGGCAACCACCTGAGTAGTCACAACTCATTTGGGGCAGGGGTTGGTTTGGGTTTGGTTGTATCTTGTTTGGCCCTTTGAGATGCTGGGGATTAAGCCGAGGGCCCTGACATGGAGCTGTGTCTTCAGTCCTTTTCTTCATTTGGAGACAGGGTCTCAGTAGAGTCACCACCTTTCTCAGGCAGGGTTGAACTTGTGAGTCTCTTGCCTAAGTCTCCTAGAGTGCTAGGATTCTAAGTGTGAGCCTCCATTCCGGGCTACATTTTAACTATCTTTAATCAGATTAATAGCTTTCCAGTTTTTAAGTCAAGCATATAATATTAATAATGTATGTTTTAATAGTTACATTTATTTAATATGCACTCTCTTGTAATTTGACCCTAATCTTAAATACTTTCATTTTATTGTATTTTATAGTACTACAGCAGATTTTACCTTTGTTTTTGAATTCTTGAAAATGTTCATTATTAATTAATGCTTAGAAATGTAAAGTTTGATATACTTTAGATTATAGCTGCATAGTCATAGATACATATTGTTAGTGGAATTTTATTTTATTTTATTTTACTTATTTTAAAAGGAGTATTCTGGGAATCAAGCTTAAAACTTTGCATTTGCCAGGCAAATGCTGTGCCACTGAGCTATATCCTTAGCCCTTGTTAGTGAAATTTTAATTTAAAATTTAGCTATGTTTGAGCCAGGTGTGATGGCTCACACCTGTAATCCCAGCAATCGGGAGGCTGAGGCAGGAGGATCATTGCAAGTTCAAGACCAGCCTGGAGTGCTCTAAAGGTTATAACTGAATATATGTTTAAGTGTATAAGATAGATAACCAAAATACTGGATTTTGTTGGATCATTGAACAAAACTGTTTGCAGTCTCACTGTTTGAAAGTCCACTTTATATGCTTTAATTTTGTAACTTGAACAACTATTTCTAAGATGACAATAGGTAATTTATTAACTAGTGATTTCTTACTGTTTATTTTTTAAATTTTGTATTACTTATACCCTTTTTCTGTTTTTTTTTTTTCTTTTTCTCCTTAAATAAAATTAAAAAAAAAAAAAAGACCAGCCTGGGCTACAAAGTGAGCTCAAGGCCATCTTGAACTGCAGCGTGAGACCCTGTCTCAAAAAGGAAAAAAAAACATTAGCTATATTTAATTTGTGAAAGAAGTGGTTGTCATTGTTAGAAGCAGAACTTTTTTCTATTCATTTTATTACTATATTAACCACTAAATAAACATAATTTGTCGTTTTAAAATTAGCTCAGTTTGTTTTAGTATTGAGAAAAATATACCAAGCAATCCAAGAATTTGTTAAGAATAGGAAAGCAAGGCTTAATACAAAATTTAGTCAGGCTACAAGGTTTTCAGATTTTGTACTATGGGAAATAAAATTAATTCATTATAAAAGAGTATCTTGTCCTTAAATAATTTTTTGTTTGGTTTGGTCAATTTCCCATAGAAGTAAATATCCAGTTCCTTAAAACACAATTTTTATTTTTGTACCCATAACATACAATTTCACTTTTAAGAGTCCTCTTTAAAATTTCCTTTGCAGGATGGAGGCTTGCTTCTCAACAACCCTTCCGCCTTAGCAATGCATGAGTGTAAGTGTCTTTGGCCGGATTCCCCATTAGAGTGCATCGTGTCCCTGGGCACAGGACGCTATGAGAGTGACGTAAGGAACTCCGCGACCTACACGAGCTTGAGAACCAAACTCTCTAATGTCATCAACAGTGCGACAGACACCGAAGGTTAGTGTGTCAGGCTCTTGAGTTGCACACACCGAGGCTGTGGTAGGGTCCGCTGATGGGAACTCTGGGGGCGTCGCTGTGTCTGGGTAGTGGGCCGCGGAGGCACTCGGGGGTCGAGTGTTATGGTCCCATTCCTCACCCTTTTCGTGTTGAGTGACCCAGAGACACTCTACTGAGCAGCAGCCTTTGCCTGCTTAGAGCTGGCAAGAGACTAAAGCAGGACGGCACAAAAGCTTGCACAGAGGGCCTTATTCTTAAGAGAGAGAAAACGACAGGAGGACTCAGATTGTTCAGCTGTACATACAGTAACTGAGAGAGAGACTGCAGGACTTACGGTATTGAGCTATTGGTAATGAGGCCAGCTGCCCTTGGAGTAAGTCGTTGCTTCCTTTGTGTTTTGTTCTGTTTTGTTTTTAGTTTTCTGAGACAGGGTCTGGCTATGTAATTCAGAGCGGTAGGCTCAAACTCCACATACTGCTCCTGCCTTAGCCTTTTGTGTGCTGATACTGCAGACATGCACCACCTTACCTGGCCTTGCTTTCGTTCTTGCCGCCCCTACAGTCTAGTCATCTTGCTACAAAGGCTGAAGCAATCCATGTAAAATGCAAGTCAGATCTTTCCTTCCCTTAAAACCCTCTAGGCTTCTTCCAGAGGGTGAGGACACTGTAATGTTTCCATGAGCCTGCCTTTCCTGGGTGGTGCGTGGCAGCAATACTCACTTTATTTTTGATAAAGACTTTTAGAACTGCTTCAGAAAGTGGCAAGATTGCGGGGATGAGTGTCTGAAGCAAGGGAGAGTATTTTGAGGGGTTAATAGCAATATTTTACTGTAATGTTTTTAAGTATTAAACGTTCACTGTGTATTTTGATTATTCCTTGTAATAACTATATTGATGAAGCATTTGTAACTGCTAATTACAGGTTGCTTTTAGCCCATGAAGACAGCCATTTCATGTGGTTTAATCTAGTGTATAATTAGTTACTAATCCAATGGTAAATGTGTACAGTTATGGCTATGAATTAAAATGAATGAGAAAACTGTCTCCTCTGGCAAGGGTAGACTTTATCTAGGATTCATAAACTTTACATCAGAAAAAGAATTAGAGATACAAGTTTAGAAGGAGAAACTAAATCACCTTTTTTGGAAAGAGGAGAGAAATAAAGAGATTTCCATATACTCGTTGTTTTGTGAGACTCTAATAGCCGGAGGTCTATAATGACAAAAAAAATTGATATTCATTCAGAAAACAGTTTTTGTTGTTAAAAAAGGAGCAGCTGCAGGGACTTTATGAATTACTAAAAGTAGATTATCAAACAGTTTCACTAAACTAGAGTTTACTTTTAGATGTGTTGAATTCTAATAATCTTTTTTCTATTTTTAAGGAATATTTTATAACTATAAATAGATGATGAGAATTCTCCTTAGGGATTATCAACACTTCTTATCCTTCTGTACATCATAGCAGTGTTTTATGTAATACTCCACGCTACCGTATTTTGGGTTTTCTTCTAATACTTAACACCAGAATTATACCAGGAGGAGTTAGAAAGAGAGAGGAGTTGCAGGTTGTTCAAAGGAATCTTTGCTCATTTTTCCTCCTTATCTTAAAACCAAATTTGAAGCCTTGTCTTTTTACTCTTTAACTTACGTCTGGGGAAATGTAGGAAGAACATTTTTTAAATGGTTCCAGTTTTGTAAAATACAACCTACAGCGATGTTTAGGAACAGACTGAGTTAGCCACGCACTGTGTCACCTTCACATCTCTCTTGTGTACTTGTTTGACAGGATCTTTTTAGGTCCGCCATTCAGGTTCAGACAACTCTGAATTCCTAATGGTGCCCTAATGTTCCCAGGACCTGATAATAATAACCTATTTCTCAATCAAACCTCAGTTTTCCTGTGGTCAGGCTGAAGACCCGCCCAGGTTTCCTGTAATCAGGCTATACCCTCGTCCACTGCCCCTCATTTTCTACCCTGGCTGGTCCAGTCCTTGCCAGTCATGCAGGAATCTGTCTTGGGTCCTGTTGCTGCTACAGCCAGTAACTTAGCATCCTAGCCCCTGGTGTGTTGCTGCTTAATTCCAGGCATTGAGCACCCTAAAGGGGTGCAAAAATTTGTTTGCAGTTTTCAAAGTGAATCAGAAAAGTCAAACATAGATTGAATTTTACTCAAAAAGTCACCCTGGGGCCTTTTGTCTAGGGACATTTAGCACATGTAAAGATTTAGGAGAGTTTAAGGAAATTCTGGAGATGCCACTTAGTAATTGTAAAGCACACACTGAGTTTTTGTTGTTGTTGTTTTATCCCAAATCCATTTTATTTCAAAGAGAAAAAAAATTCAAAACACAATTGGGGCAACAATGGGTGGTACATACATTTCACATTGCAATCCCCAAATTAGTGACCCAGAGCACAAGACATCTGCATTCAATTGTCTGAACAATACCAGTACAAATCTCTCTCTTTAGTGGACTCAGAGAAATCAGTAATATAGTTAAAAAACAAACAAACATATAAGATATATCTTAACTATATTTTATATATATAAGATATATTATATCTTAGAGATATCTTAACTATATTTTATATATAGTTATATATATTGTTTCTTTAAGCTCATACTAGTAAGACAATATTGTCTGATTTATTTCATTGTGACTATGGACTCAAGTTGTATGCATTTACCTATAAAGTCTCAAGTTTGTCCTCCTTTATACCTGAGTAGTACACCATTAAAAGTACCACATCTTTTTTTTCCATTCCTCAGTCAGTGGGCAGTTTTTAGTGGAGCTTTAGGGGTCCTCTCTTTAGAGTATCATGTCATTTGCAAACCATAGTTTAACTTCTTCCTTTCCTATCTTTAATCATTTTATTTCTCTTGTCTAGTTGCTCCAGTTAAAGTTTCCAGGAATTAAACCAGGAGGAGTTAGATAGAGAGAGGAATGTTGAATAAGAGTGGAGACAGTGGACCTTCTTGTCTTACTCCTGATTTTAGAGAAAGAGTTTTCAGTTTTTGTCCATTTAGTCTGATGTTGGCTCTTGGTTTGTTGTAGATGGCTTTTATCAAATTGAGGTAAAGACTATGCCAGGTTTTTTTAAGCTGGCTTTATTTATTTATTTGTCTTTTTGAGACAGGGTCTCATTATACAGTTGAGGCTGGCTATGCGCTCACTTTGTAGCTTAGGCTGGTTTTAAATTTGCAGTGATCCTCTTGCCTCAGCCTCCTGAGTGCTGACATTACAGGAATGTGCCACCACACCCGGCTTACTATAGACTTTTTATCACGAATGGATGCTGGAGTTTTATCAAAAGCTTTTTCTGCATCTATTGAGATGATTATATGATTTTTGTCTTTGACTCTATTAATATGGTATATTACACTGATTGATTTACATATGGTGAACCATGCCTGCAGCCTTGGGATGAATCCCACTTGATCCTGGTGTATAATTGTAATATATTAAAAACAACCAGCTGAATTAAATCAGCACAGGGCTGAGTGTACATGTACAACTGCGGCAAGTTGCTGGCCTAGAAGGAGACATGGAGAAGAAGAGTGAAACAGTGTGGTTTCTCCTACGTGTTGTGGTTTGGAGCCATTGCTTCTCCTGGAGGAGCTTGTCATGATGGCTTCCCCAAATGAATTCAGCCATTATCCTTGGAGGAGCTTAGGACCTTGTCGCTGAGAGTGGCTGTGGTTCCCTTTAGAGGAGCTCTGGTCCTTACTTTGAACATTGCTTCCTGGCTCCAGAGAGAAAAACATTTGGTATTTAATCTTCAGAAGTTGTTACACTGGCTTCCTGACATGTACTCTACTGTTCTCATCATTAGAGGAACTTGGGACCTCATTGTCACTGAGGATGGCTGTGATACTTTGCAAGGGAGTCGTGGTCATTATTTTGAGTGTCATTGCTTGGCTCCTGTATAGACTCTTCGGCCTACGGGAACAGATCCTTCACCCTGCTGGCATAGACTTTCTGGCTTCCACTGCTGACCTTTGGGCCTTCGTAGCGCAGATCTGTAAAACAGACTTGCCTGCATTGGTCCAGGCTCTAGGTTTTCAGCTGTACTCACGCAGGATAATGCTGTGGGATTCAGACCCTCAGCTGACTTTTCTAGGTCTTTAGTGTTGTGAACAGATTTTTCTGCACTTTCTTGTATTTAACTCTGGGTAGCCATCATAAATAATAATATAAGTTATGTGTCTCATATGTAATTGTTCTCTTTGCAGTCCTTGACTACAGTCTTCTTGATGATTTGCTGCATTCTCTTTGCCAGTGTCTTATTGAAGATTTTTGCATCTAGTTCATTAGGGAAATTGAACTGTAGTTCTCTTTCTTAGTTGGGTCCTTCTCTGGTTTTGATATCAGAGTAATGTTTGCTTCTAGGAATGAATTTGGGTATTGCTTGCCTTTAAATTTTGTTAAAGAGTTTGAAGAGTAGTGATGATACATCTTCTCTAACTTTCTTACACAATTCAGCAGTGAATCAGGATGTGGGATTTTCTTTGTTGATAGGTTTTTAGTTACATCTTGGATTTCATGTACTGTTACTGGCTTATTTAGATTTTTATTATACCTTCTGAATTCAGCTTTGCTATTTCATATGTATCTAAAAGTGTGTCCATACTTCTGTATTTTCTTCTGAATCTACAGAGTCTGCTGTGATTTCGCCCTTTTCATTCAAAATTGCATGTATTTAAGTCTTTTCCTTTTTTTTGATAAGGTTGACTAAAGATTTGTCAATTTTATTTAATCTTTCAAAGAACCAGCTCTTCAATTTATTGATTCTTTTGATTTTTCTACTCTTCAGTGTGTTCATTTCTGCTCCGACTTTTGTAATCTCCTCCCTCATACAAGCTTTTGGCTTAGCCTGATCTTTTTCTAGAAGTTTGAGGTTCATTAAGTTGTTTATATGTGCTTGTTCTGTTTTCCTGATATGGGTATTTACTACTATAAATTTTTCGCTTATGACTGCTTTCTTTGTGTCCATAAGTTCT